GGGTCAGATCAGGCGCAATTCCCACACTGTGTTCCTGGTGTTGTCCCCCGCAGGGCCATGGGCCAGTGAGGAGCATCTCATCTCATAGTGGGGTTAAGCCTCATGTCTTAAAAAGCCACAACCACTGCTAAGTAGACGATGGCAGGTGGGAAGTGCAAAGGGAGTCTAGATGCACCTCGAGTCCATGGGAGACCCCAGGAAGTCTTCATGAAAAAACACGGGAGGCGTGGTTGTATGCAGTGAGTGGTGTTCGATTCCCACGGTGTTAAGGCCTAGATTCAGGGAGAGTCACATATGGGAAAATCAACTCTGGAATTCGATAAGAGGCTGCCAGGTTGGGGCTGGACACAGCATCTCTCCACACAGCCAGCTTAGGGGTCTACCTCTTGCGCTGGGTCTTCTCCTTTCTCCACGGAGCATTTGACTTGTCTTCAGAGAGACTGCTGTATGAAGGTAGAAGTGCCTTGAAACATTAGGGTCACATGCAACGTTCATACCACAGAGGTATTGAGGGCTCAGCCTATACTGAAGAGACATGTGTCTTCTGTCTCATTTGCTTGTCTGTGTAATGAACACTTGTAAACAAAATTCAGGTAAAGATGTGCTACTGTAGGAAAGACCTGAACATGTCAGGCTTTGGGTAAAGGACAGTATTCTAACAGCAGCATTTGGACAAGGGGTGGAAAAGTCCATGACGTTTATGGGAGACTTTAAGTTCATATATGCTCTACACCAGGATCCAAGTCTCAATTCTCCTTTCCATGACTAGCTGCTTGATGACAGGAGTTTGTTAACAACTCTGAGCCTGGATGTTCTTACTTGTAAATTCCAGTTCGCTGTGGTGTTGGTAAGGATTCGGTAAGGTAATTAAGGAGCTCTGTCCCTTAGTACATATTCAAATATTAAGTTCCTCTTTGCTCTCCCCTCCAGCCATAATCCCACCACCATCCAGTCAGTTCTGACTCACAGCAACCCGACAGGCCAGAGCTGAATGGTCCCCGTACTGTTTCCAGGGCTGTACTATGTTTTTATGGATGCAGAGTGCAACCTCTTTCTCCTGTGAATCAAATGAGTGCTTTAATCACTGCACCACCAAGGCTCCTCCCCTTCCCCCCCAAGGATATAGCCGATGCCTATGGGCAGTGATGGTAGGGTTAAAAAGGCCAGCTGGCACCAAGTAGGCTCTGACGCGTGTTGAGCCTGCGAATAACAGGTGAGAACACCGTCCACTCCGGGCGGCCTCATAATCTCGCTGGTGTGCTGGAGCCGGATTACTGACCCTCTTTTCTCAAGCTACAAACCAGAGACCTAAAGGAACTATGTGAGCCACGCAACTAACTTTAAATTTCCTAGGAACCACATTAAAAAAAGGTAAGAGAAAAAAAGATGAAGTTAATTTTCACAAAGTATCTTACTGAAACAAATATAGTCATGATAATATTTTAACATATAATCAATTATAAAAATAAATAAGTGATAGTTCTACATCCTTCATTTTTGTCTAAGATGTCTGATGTCTGTTTTATACTTCCAAACACCTCAATTCAAGTTTGCTACATGTCAAGTACTTATAAGGCTCACTCACTGCCACTGAGTGGCTTCTGGCGCATCTCGGCCCTATAAGGCAGGGCAGAACTGTCCCTGTGGGCTTCTGATGCTGTAGATTTTCCCAGGAGCAGAAAAGCCTCATCTCGCCCCTCCAGAGCAGCTGGTGGGTTTGAACTACTGACTTTGCCACCAGGAGTCTTTCTCGTAAGGCTAGTGGTGACCACATCAGACACCAATGAGGAACCACTGAAGATTTTCATTGGCAGAGTGGAGTGCTTTGAGAAAATTATGTTTACAGCTTTTAGACCAAGTCTCACTGGCCTTCGTTCCCCCCACGCAGGCAACTCTATCGCAGGCCGAGTGTATGAAACGGACCGGCGGGCTGGGCCGACTTCAGTGACAGAGCACGTGTGTGCGTGCCTCTTTCCAGTGAGCATGTGCACCCGTTTTAAAACTGGGATGAAAACATACGCAAGAGCTCAAGTTACATTCTCACTCTGGTTTTCCTCTGATATAATTACAGTTTTTGTTGCTATGTCACTAGCATATGTTCCCACAAACTTGCTTTTCTCAGGGAATATTTACCAATTCCTGAATTAGCAGCCCTTCAGACTATTAGAAACATTTAAGTAAAGCACAAAAATTGGCTTTTTGTTGTTTCCCCAACACAAATTATTTCAGGAATGGATGGAAATTCAGAAGCATCTTCAGACATACACGTGGGAGTTACTTCAAGAATGTTTACTAACCTGCAAATATAATTGATCCCATTTTTCAAATCATTAGACTAAGTGTGATACTGAGTGCTGTATACAGCTAGACCTCCCCCTCTATGCAGAGTAAACGCTAATGAAGCTCTGGAGACATAGAGGGGTTGAGCAGGCAGCGATCTCTCTCCACTGCTTTTGGTATAACTAAGATACTCAGTGGGAGAAAACAAAATCATGAGGAAATGTTTCTATCCTACATTTCTAGAGATCTCCTCAGATCTTAACCCAAACCCACTATCAGCAACGCGAACCAGACTCACAGCCACTCTGTGCGGCACTTTGGAGACCGTCAGTCTTGATGGGAGCAGACCACCTTGTTGTTTACCTGCCAGTCTGGCTGTCAGCTGCCCAACTCCTGAGTTACATACAATGCCACCAGGGCTCCTTACGGAGACACTACGTTAGTTGGGGGAGCATAATTGGATTAATTATATCTGATTTTAAAAAATCATTAAAGATCTTAGAAGGCATGTGCATGAGGACTGTTCTACTTTCCACCAGGTCTTCAGTGAGAGATAGGAAGTGGCGTGTGCACATTCTCACCTCAGACAGCAGGTGCTGAACCACGATAGCCAATGCTTCCAACTTGATGTTTCCACAGGAAAGGAGCTGCTTGAGCTGCAGGATAAACCCACGTTGGCTTTCACATTTTGCTTTACATTGAGCCAATTCAAGTGCCTTTTCAGCGGACAGCACATCAGGGGACGTCTGTGTCTGGGTGCATAGACTTCTGGGATTCTTTTGCCTGCCCTTTTCAACTGCAAAAAAAAAAAAAAAAAGTGAATATTGGCACTAAAATATGCAAATTCTTAAAACCATGGGCTCACAAAAAACAACCTAAGCCACAGAAATGCACTGAAGTCATGTTTATTTAGACAGAGATAAGAGCTATAAGCAATCAAATATCTCACGGCTTCAGGTACATAAACACAGACAGCAGCTTTCTTTCAGGCTTAAAGACATGTATGTGGGCAGAGAACTGTGTGTATGGAACAAAAAGATTTAGCAGCTCAGATGCATGAAAACTGTGTGCAGAATCACATTGACTTCACAGGCCCCGGTCTCCAGTTAAACCGGAGCAGGGACTGACAGCGACTAGCACCCACATTCTACACAACGAGCACAATCGCTGAGAGAGACAAAGGATAGAACTTCAAATGTATCCCCCTCCTCCTGTACAGTCTCCACAAACATCTCTTCTTCCCCTGCTGATGGCCTGGTCATTTCAAAGATTTACACTGCGATGAGTCATTTCCTCATCTCTAATAAATCATCACAGATGTTGAAAGTCTACTCACATTTTGCCCTTTAAGTTCATTGCAAAGAGAATGGTTCTCTTGACTACACCATCCATTTTCTATCACACAATGAAAATGAACATTGTGGTTTTATTTTATTGGTGGTGGCCGGTCAGTAATTTCTTTGTCAAGTAGCCATAATAGCTTAAATTGTTTTTAAAAACCCCACATACTAATAATACTCCAAATTCATTTAAAATGCCATGCTAACTGATGATTCACTTTCCACCCCATGGTACCCTGGGAATCACCATAGCTTAAATTTCAATAAAAGACAAAAACTGTTCAGTTTTGGAGTCATTCCCAAAACTTTCGTCACTTTAAATATCAAATACACTCGGGGGAAAAAACAGGAAACTAATTGTTAGGTTCCTGAAATAAAAAGGCCAAATAATCAAAACAAATCTAAACCAGGGAGAATAAGAAGCACACAGGAAACTGAAAATATACAGATGTCCTAATTCTCATCGGCATTCCCTACGGCATCCTCATCCTGGGGTAACGAACACATCTAAGCCAACTATTTTCTCCAGTGTTGCGGGGAGAGGAAAGCATGACAGTGATGCTGGAAGGAAACTAAGCGACCTCAGCATCCGTGTTCCAAGATCCACAACAGACTCAGCACACCCTTCAAGTTAGCAGGGGGGAAGAGACCAAAGGAGGGGGGAGGGGGAGGCGGGATAGGCTCTCCTTTGCTCTTGCTGCTTCATGTGTTTCAACAACTCGTATGTGTATGCTTGAAAACGCTCAGCTCTAAAATGACCGAACTAGAAGAGAAGGAGAAAAACTATCTATTGTCTTCATTAGTAACTGTTGTCAATAGCTGCCCATCAATAATTGCCTTTTCCACCTCAGATGAAGAAAGTAACCATTTTAATACTGGCATATGTTAAGAATCTTACAGGAAAAATAACTTTCATAGAGTTACTGACTGTGCAAGTGGCAAAATAATCTAAATATTTGTCAACTTGTAAAATACCTTGGATTACTATTCATTGATTTTACGTCACTTCGGGCAATGCTCTGAGAAACTCCTCTCGCCTGGCACATCCTCATTCCGCAGTGGTTGACTATGCACAGTGCATGTCATGCTGTTCTCAGTTGATCCCTCTAATACCCTAGACATGGAAAGTGAGGCCCAGGGTGTGAAGGGCCCTGGCCTCTGACACAGCCGCTGCTGTTCCCCTAGACTACGCATGTGCACACATACATTCCTACACATGATGAGAAGTGTGATGTAATATGACACCAAACACTGAATAAATATTGGTGCAGTACACTTAATATAATGTATTATACTCAATTATATTATAATCTGATGATAACTCTATTTTGGTCAACGTGCACATAGATAATGTAGTAGCTGCATGTGTATGTCAACTTGGCTGGGTAAGGGTCTCAGTGGTTTTGCAGTTAAAACCAGTAATCTCTCGAGATGAGATTGCCTTGAGGGTTTGACCTGCTTCCAACATAAGTAGATGCTGAGGGAGGGCTTGCTTGCTTTTTCGAAGGTCTGGGTCCTGCATCTGTCTCATTCAACCTTCCGTACTTTGGACTTGGGTCAATGGTCTGCCAGATTGTCTGCCTACACTGGGAGTTGTCAGTTATAAGCCTGACCCTGCCAACCTTGGACTCGCCGACTACTGCAGCCACAAGCTTGTCTTCTTCCGCTGATCGTGGATTCATCCGCTCCTGCAGCTACTGGAGTCAGGAAAAGCCTCCAATCTAATATCTGACCCATGAACTTGGAACTTTCCCATTTCTATTACAAATGTACGAACCCTTTTCTTGAGATAAAACTCTACATATAAGCATAATAAAAGCCCCACTGGCTTTCCTTCTCTAGAGAGCCCAACCTGTGATAAGTGAACACCCTGAAGAATATCAACTCTCTAACTCTGATTACATTTGTCCCATGCAAGGCTCTAGTCCTTGGCGGCATTTTCCTTCAGACTCTCCCTGGTTGCTATTTCACCTCCCGTGACAGTCATACTTCACGTCATTAAACTAGAGAAGCAAGGGAGGACAAGTGACTGCTTTGGTGAAATGCAAGCTGACTAGATACCAAGATGCTTCTTCTCTCAGGTTTGCTTAACAGCTGGGGAACTGAAATTATATTCAGGGGCAGGGTGGCCCACACACTAGCACTGGCTCCTAAGTGTCCAGCCATGCAAACCTAAACACCACACTGAGAAGACTGCTCTAACTCAGGAAGTGATAAAAATCAGCACTTCTGTACGAAACACAATTTTCAGAGCTGCTGGCGCCTATAAACCAACTCAAGCACTAAAGACAATTCTGATCAGGTCTACACTAATTCCATTTGCTCCAACCAGAGCTTAGGGACATAAAAGCGTTGTGACAAACCTTCCCTAACACACCTTAGCACAAATTCATAACTTAGAATCAAGAAGCAGAATTTATCCTCTGGTGAACCCTACACGAGTGAAATGATATAGCTAAAAGGGTTTTTGTTGCAACCTTATCTGCAAATGAAAGATCAAAGTACATCCCAAAGAACCACAGAGGGCTGGCTAAGTGTATGGCATATTTATATAGTGGCACACCACAGCCAACGTAAAGAAGGACGAGCTCTCTGTGAGAAACGATAAATAAATAAAGTGCCTGCATGAGAAGGAGGGGCCTTAAAAAAAAGTTCATAGGGAAAAATTCCATTTTCTATGAACTTTTTGAAGCCTGCTTCCCTTGCACAAAGGTGGGTGAAGATGTTTCTTTTCTTTTTAGGGTAAATGCATGAAAGTTATTATAGAATAAATACAATATTGTGAACACTGTCTTTCTTCTAGGGGGAAGGGAATAAGAATGAGAGTGAAGCAGGTGTTCCAATTCTCTCTTTGTACTTTTTAAACCATGGGGTGAATGCCGAACCTATCCAAACATTAAATAAAAATTAAAAAGTAAATTAACTTGTTTTTCTAAGGCTGTTAACATAATTCCTGGGCACTTAAATCTTAACAAAACACATATCCACCAAGAAAAAACACAGTAGGAGAAGTTTATTTCTTGGGGAATCGCTAGGAAATTTGTACTTAATTGAATGTGAATCGTCAATATACATTTATAATTTCAGAGGAAAGGAAAATTGTTACTCGGAAATAAACATGTTATTCAGAATGTATATGCCTTCAAATTTTAGCGGAAGAGCAAATAAGCCAACAGAGCTAGAGAAGCAGGTTAATTCTGCAGTCTTCCACTGCACATACTGGGCTCCCTAAAGGCAAAGCATACCACATGGTGGCCAATGACCCAGTGTGAGTATCCGTCCCTCTCTCCTCACTCAAACGAACATCGGAGATGATGCACACATCTCTAGTGATGCTCAAAGCACTCAGGGTCACAAACCGGGGCTTCCAAATAGTCCAGCCGTGAGAATGGGAACTCAACAGGACTGCCTTGGTTTTCTGCACATCGAGCACTTTCCACCCTTGATGGGGCAGTCATGCTTTTCTATCACTGTCTACTTAGTGGGCCATATTTGCGTTTTCCTTCTCAGGGAAGCTTCCTGCCTTACACCGTTTGCAGCTTTTACGGGTTTTTTGTTATATATATGTATGCATGCATATATATATACACACACATATATATACATATATGTGTATGTGTATATACACGTATATACACACACACACACGTTTTCCCTTACATCCTACAGGAGTCATTATTTGGGTGACATTAGCCTTTTACACAGCAAGATCTGTGCTCACATTCTGCTAATCAGCATTTTACAATTTTGATAATGCAACATAATTTGAAAGCTAAGTGAGCTTGCTTATTATGTCTATTAACGGGACATGTTCTGATTTTAAAGATTTCTATTTAAATGGAAACCTTAAAATACAATATTGACATCTGAGTATTTGGATGTTTCTCAACAAGTTAATTGCCACTATCATTTCTGGATGAATCTTACTGTGCTTCATCCTAATGAACAGGACCTCTGAATGCAGAGCAGCTTAAGTCCTGATGAAAAAGAGAGGTGAGTATTTGAAACATGACCACACAAAACGGTGTGCTTGCTACGGCTGCTCTCTCTCCTCAGAAACATCCATCGAATACCCAAGAAGCTAGCTGAATGAACTCATTCATCACCTTCCTGAAGAAAGTAACTGGAGAAAGAGGAATCGGTCCATTCAGGCAGCTAGATCTCCAACTCACAATAAAAACTAATTTTTGAGAGAAAGACGATCATTAAGACAAAGACTAACTGTCATCACACAATCTGCCAAGGACATGCAATCTTAACGCAGAGCAAGGATACCCTATCTACTGGGGCTGCTGGCTTTCCAAGTGATGGAAACCAAGCCGGAAGCAAGGCCTGCGTGGCTTCTAGATTCCAAACACAAAATTCAGTAACTAATTGGCCTATTCTTTAAGACATTCATTACCTTGCTCATTCATCTACTCTTTATCACAACCTACCATGTTCTGGGCCGAGGTTT